TTCTTATTAGTTGAACATGGTACACAAACATTTGAGTCAATGAACTTTGAAAATTCAGAAAATGATTTACTTTAGCAACCAAATAAAGGAAGTTATACAAACCCCGCCTCTGCAAAAATGGTGATTCTAGTCCTGGCAAATGCCCACTTCTTTTCTAGCTGTGCCCACATAACACTCTTGCTATCATGACTGCTAACCCAGCAATGCTTATCTCTGAGTGAAGATCATTGCTTATGAAACGTGACCTGGCACTGCTTTTGCTTCAGGACTCCTGTTCCTCTATAAGGCTGTGGGGACATGTTACAAACTTGCTTGTTAGGATTTTTCACCCATGTTCTTCTGAATGCATTGACAGAGGATTCCTAGTTATGTGATGCACTTCCTATAGAGACTTTCCAGGCATCAGGTTAGCATTCTGATACCAAACTAAACAATTTTGATTAAGCATTTGAACTTGTATATGTTTTTAAGACTGAAGGGTTTTAGAAGTTACTTTTTTGCATTTGTGCTGTGTCTGAATATATTATACCACAATATACCAACTTAAGGAAGGGGAGAAACAGAATGAAAAATGTTATAAAATGTGTTAAATCAACCAATACCAACATTCCTGTTATCAAAATATGCTTTAAACACAATTTCTGGATCCAGATAATATCTTTCTCCCTCTAAATATGCACATCTCTGTGTGTGTGTCTGTGTGTCTGTGTATAATTTCTCATGCAAAGCTATTTAAGATTTCAACCCTGATACATATTTTATACATTTATCTATATGTAGGACCAATGATACTGGCTTCCTTTCCTTCAAAGAACATTTACCTGTGAACCAGATAGTCATCACTGATACGAACAGACCTAATTCTGAAGCTGCCTGGAGAATTGGCCCTCTACGTTGCTATGGAGATAGTGGGTATCAGCTCTTTTCAGCATCCTTATGCACAAGCTGTACGTGAAGCTGGAGTGTGTGTGTGAGGGACAGAATTCTGTTTGTATTGTTGATAACAGATACCTTCTAATAATTACATTGTCTGATTTGTTTCCTGAAATGAATTGTGCAGTTTCTAAAGAAGCATATTTTTCATATATTTCTAAATATTTTGCAATTAGGGTTTGAGTGCAGAAGGATCAAACTAAAGGCTTATCTGGTCCAGACTCCTATTTTCTACAGTGCGGCAATGAAGATGCATATGAGAAATGCACAAGCATGACATGAGCACAGTAGGACTTCCTCATTCATATTCCCCAGCAACAGACATTGGGAACCTGTTCCCTTCATTAATTGGAAGTAATATCCAGCCATCTTGCCCATTAGCAGTTGAAATTATTAAGGGCTATAACATTTTCTAATTCCCTTTTAAAGCTGGCACTGGTGGTTAAAGTTGGTGGTTACTTCTTTCTCCTGTGGTAGGAAATTCCCAACTTTGTACATTGTGAAGGACTTCCTTACGTATGTCCTGATTCTCTCAACAACTCAGTTCATTGTATGAAAACTTTTATGAGAGGAGAAGAAGCTCCCCTTTTGCATTTCCCCTGTAAGTATATGCAATTATATCCTTCTGTCTGCCTTCCCTTAGTTCACTTTTGTCAAGTTAAAAAGGACCCCATCACCTTTTTAAAATCCTTTCTGAATGATGCTCAGCATGGATTTGCCTTTTTCACAGCAGTTATACATTTCATGAAAGATGAACAGCACTCATAGCAGCCAAACTTTGCTATTATAGCATTGACATTGCTACACTCAGTGAGACCAGGCTGGCAGTTGAGGGTTCATTACAGGAAGCAGAGACTGGATTTACGTTCTTTTGGAAAGGGAAACCACAGACTGACAACAGGACTCACAGAGTAAGTTTTGCAATCAAAACTGCTCTGCTGAAGAACATCTATAGTCTATTCACTGAAATAAATGAATGCATTACAAAGTTCCACTTTCCTCCCAGAAAGTCCTGGAATATCATCACTGTCAGAGTCTATGCACCAACTCTTGAGTCCCGATGAAGACAAGGAAGGTTGCTATGAGGACCTGGACCAGATTATTCAAACAACCCCCACCAGCAACAAAATAATCATTCTGGGCAACTTCAACACTACAGTAGGGTGGGGACAGACAGCAACAACTGGGATGGAGTCCTCAGGAGATGTGGGGTGGGAAACTAAATAGCAGTGGCCTGCTGTTTCCGAGCACAACCTGTACATCACTAACACGATGTTCATACTTCACAAACTACGTACAAAACTACCTGGAGGCATCCCAGGTCCAAACTCTGGCACCTACTTGACTATGTCATAGTACATCAGTGCAACCTTAAAGAAGTCACCATCACCCATGCCATGAGAGGTGCTGAGTGCTGGATAGATCACAAGCTGGTCCAGTCAGTCCTCAACCTATACAAAGCCTCTTTACATTGTAAGTAACCAAGGACTGCCAGAAAGTCATTCAGCATCAGCGGCCTCCAAGACCCAGGCCAAGTCCAACGCTTCCAATATGTACTTAATGAAAAAAACTCTGGCAATTTATCATTTGTAGGAACCTGTTTTGAAAAGTGAACAGTTTGAAGATGTCATCACACAGACTGCAACAGCTGTACTCGGACTGAAAACCTAGGCACATCAAGACTGGCTTGATGAAAGCCACAAGATCATTTCAGGAGCCCTTCAAACTAAGAACAAGGCCCCTGCAGACTGGCAGAACATCATCTGTCTCAAAGAAAGACAAGTTTAAGCACTTGCAATCCAAACTACAGACAGAACTGCAAGAAATGCAGGACAAGTGGTGGCACAGAAAGGCTGAGCAGGTGGAACACTATGCAGACATGCATGACACCAGAGAGCTCTTCAGTGCCATAAAGTCATTTTATGGTCCTTCTAAGTCAGGATGCTCCCCCTTGCTGTCATCTGATGGGCTGAGCCTGACCAAAGTCCAAGAAGGACAGAAAAACTGCTGGGCTGAACACTTTTCCAACCTACTCAATAGGCCATCCACAGTTGATCATGATGTCTTATTGCAGATTCCTCAGCTGCCAGTCTTGGATCCCCTAGACCTGCCTCCCTATACCAATGAGATCAAGAAAGCATCACGCAGATGAACTCAAATAAAGCAACAGTGTAGGATGGCATTCCTGCTGAGATCTACAGAGCACTAGATCTAAATGCTTTACAGGGTTCCAAGACATCTAGGAAGACATTTGGTCCACAGAGGAGATGCCTGACGACTTCCACGATGTCCTCATTGTGACTGTCTATGAAAATAAGGGAAACAAATCAGACTCTGGAAACTACAGAGGTATCTCACTGCTTTCCGTTGCAGGCAAGATCTTTGCCCACATTCTCCTGAACAGACTTATCACTGTCTCAGAAAGGAACTTCCCAGAAGTGCAGTGTGGCTTTTGGCCAGAACAGAGTACAGCAGATGTGATATTTGCTGTGAGGCAAGTCCAGGAGAAATGCATCAAGCAGAACAAGCCTCTTTACTCTGTCTTCATTGACCTGAAAAAGGCATTTGACACTGTAAACAGAGAGGTTCTCTGGATCATGCAGAGACATTATGGATGTCTGAGGAAATTTGTGAAGTTGATTCAGCTACTCCATGATGGAATGACAGGACAGGTACTTTACAATGGTCAAACATCAGCTGCATTTGCCATTTCCAGTGGGGTAAAACAAGGTGGTGTGCTAACCTCAGTCCTGTTCAATCTGTTCTTCGCTTGTGTGTTATCACATGCTGTCCAGGGTCTGAAGGAGGGAGTGTACATCAGGTACCGGTTGGACAGCTCTCTTTCACCTTCGCCACTTGAACATGCAGATGAAGTGCCTCCATGCAGTCATTCAAGAAACCCTCTTTGCTGATGATTGTGCATTCCTAGCACACAAAGATAGTGATCTACAGTTGATGCTGACACTGCTATGCTCTTTGGCCTATCAGCCTGGACAAGACTGAAGTAGTTTACCAGCCTGTGCCAAATACCAACCCTGTAGAACCAAAAATCACTGTTGACGAAACCCAGCTGACAGATATAAACAGCTTCAAATACTTTACATACATATCTCAAGCAATGGGTCTTTGGACAAAGAAATTGACTCCAGGATCAGCAAGGCCAGCCAGGCCAGCATACTAGAGTGCTCAATCAACACAACATCCATATCTCCACAAAGCTGAAAGTCTACAAAGCTGTGATTATCCCTTCTCTCCTATATGGATGTAAGTCCTGGACTCTGTACCGAAAGCACATCAGACAACTAGAGAAATTTCACATAAGCGCTCTCCACTCCATCCTTCGCATTCGTTGGCATGTCTCCAACCGGGAGGTCTTGGATCACACAGAGTCCACCAGCATTGAGTCCCTGATTATCAGAGCCCAGATGCGCTGGGTGGGACGCATCAGAATGGATGATCCCCATATGCCTCGCCAGTTGCTCTATAGTGTACTGGAGTCTGGGAAGAGACCTCGAGGTCGATCATGCAAGCACTACAAAGATGCTGTGAAAGAAACCCTATGCCACTGTGACATCCAGCCAAGGGAACTAGAAGCTGCGGCTGTTGAGAGAACCAGCTGGCGAGCCCTGTACTATGAAGCCTCCACTGGCTTTGAAGACAGGCACTGCCAAAAACTGATAGAAAACTGTGAGTGGCATCACACAATAACACCCACAGTTACTACAACAATTGACTTTCAGTGCCCCTATTGTGCTAGACTCTGTCCTTCCAGACTGAGACTTCAGAGCCACCTCCGTGTCCACAGATGAACTGTACAACAGTGTGTCTTCTTTGAACTTGAAGGACTACCATATATTTGTGTGAACCCATTTCCTGGGTTCACACAAAATACTAAAACCTTATTTCTAGCTTAGCAAAATGTAATCACTGAGTTCACCTAACATGAACTGTCCTAAGAAGTTATAGCTTAACCTGATGGTTTGATTCACATAATAAACTAAGATAGTGTCCAGGTTCCTACAACACACCGGACAAAAAAACTACTCTGCCTTATTTTTTACCAGGTCTGTTTTCTGCAAATCCAGCCATTGGTCAATTAATCCAACATATCTTTTCTGTGGTAAATTTGAGACTTCATATATGTAAAGCTATTATTTTTTAACCCAATGTATTTCACTATGAAATTGTTTAGATGTATTTTCTATATTTATTCCTATTCATTTTGTTAAAAGGTTTTTTGCTTTTTTGCTTTAATCACCCAAAATAATGTGACGTTATCAACTAACTTGACCATCTCACTGTTTTTTTTGCCTTGATTGGAAGAAATGTGTTTATATCTTCTTTATCACAACTATGAAGTCCTCAATTCTCTTGATCAGCAAACTAATACTCTACAAAGCCACTACTTCAACTACTTTAGCTTCAACAAACATTTTCTCCAAGGAACACAGATTCATATACATCAGCCAGAGAGATGTATCTGGAAGGCTTCACAGGCTTCATTGGCTTTTCACCTCAGTTGTTATTTTTCTCTATTTTTAACCTAGAATTCTAAATGATTCTGTGTCAACTGTATGGAGAATTAGACTGTCCTGACTTACTCATCCTTTGCAAAACTTCCATGGGTGCTTAACAAACTGTCTTTTCAACTGTTTGATTCCTTGAAAGATTGTCACTGAAGCTGAAGTGCTTCATCAGCTGTGTGTATATATGGGGAGGGTTATCTGTTTCACAGACTAAATGCTATGTGTGTGTGTAGAAAGAGTGCTTCCTCAACTATGAGCTGACCTGTGCACAAAATTGGCCACTTGTGGTCACACTAGTGAGTGACTCACAATGTGGTCCTCTCAGTGATGACATCCTAATTATTATATTCTCAGCCTGGCAAAACATGGCTGACCACTATACTGTCTGGTTTTCAAAAGGAGCACAAGATATACTTCTTCTCTCAAGTGTTTATAAACTAAACTTTGAACCTGGCACAGAATGAATCTAAAGAGATGTCTTTTGTCTGTTTCATAGAAGTGGTTAGGATGTTATACATCTAAATGTTGTATTTTTGTTAGTACTTTACTGTTTATTATTTGCATGATTTTATTCATTGATTTGGATGCCTTTTCATGACAAGTAATAGAATGAATGAATGAATGAATGAATGAATGAATGAATGAATGAATGAATGAATGATGAAGATGATAGATAGATAGATAGATAGATAGATAGATAGATAGATAGATAGATAGATAGATAGATAGATAACCTGTGCATGCATTGCAGAAGCACTAACTTATTTTTCTTCCTAGGTTTCATTTTGCTGTTTTAATTAACCTTTGTCTGGCTAAAGGACATGTCTTTGCTTCTTCATTTATCTCCCCCTTATAATTAACTATAGAGAATCTTGTTGTCATTTGCAGGACAGTTCTGGAATGCAGCTTCTTTCAGCACTGAAGCTTCATACCTTCTCTTCCCCACTTTCCATGCTGAGTTCACTGCAGACATTTCTTTCTTCTTCAAAACAACCACGATGTCCGGGGTCTTTTTGGAAAATTTGGGAATGAAAGATTTCATCAGAGTTGAAATAAGCTGTAAGTTTATCAACTGAAATGGTAGTGTATTGTTATTTTCCTGCAGATCTGATCAAGTCATGTACTTACTTGAGTGTTTAATATTTGTGGGGTTTGTGTGTGTGTTTTAAATCTTAAAAGTGGGGATAATGTGCCAAAAGTTGAGAGGTTAGGACCATTTAAAATATTCTGTGACTATCACTAGATGGGATAGGGAGTTATGGATCATAATCTAACACTTGATCCAATGCAGGTTTGTAGATAAATATTTTTCTATTTTCCAGTCTAGGGTTGAGAGGAAGAGTGACTGATCCAAAGTCATCCAGCTGGTTTACATGCCTAAGAAAGGACTAGAACTTATATTCTCTTGGCTTCTAGTCCAGTGCCTCGAACCACTACCATAAATTGGCTCTCATTCATGTTTGTGTGTGTGTGTACACGCATACATACACAGACACATTCTTCTTCAAATTGTTATAGTCAAGTGAAGATAGTATTATTGAGCTCTGCTGTGCAGTTGTTTCTTATCTAAAGCAGCACACAAAATTGCTACTTTTCACAGATAGTATATGAGTTATCAGTAGCTTGCCTCTCCTAGTCTTCTTGGATGATGCTAAATAGTATTTATGTAATATCTTTTTGGAATGGAGCTGGCATACGAAAGAGTAAAAGGGAAAATTCCAGAATGCTCAGTGTCATAATGGCCTGTCATTCAGCCTACCTCTCCCTGAGACTAAATTGCATTATTGCCCAAAGTATTAAAGGAAAAACTAATTTAACTCATCTTTTTGTCTGCTGTTTTAGTCTATTAATGGAAGGGTGTTGTGTTGTGGATTTGGAATGAAATAAGGCTCTTCTGTTCCATATTCCATCAGGCTAAACAAACATGGAATGAAGTATCATCATTTCATAATATGGTTATAATAACTTCAACATAAAATGTAATAAAATAAGGCCCCCAAGGCCCTTTGATTCATTAAACCCATGGTAAAAGCCATAGTGCATTATCACTAGGTAATGAGGTATGGTTTAGTGTTAATTACACATCAACCTCCTATTTGCTTGATACTTCAGTGTGCTGTATTTCATTCTCACAGGCCTTCTCCCCCCCTTTTTTTTTAAAGTACAATAAAGGCAAGACATTGACATGAAATTACATCAGAATAATGCAATCTGTCAAGGTGATGGGTTAGCATGTGCTCTGGTAGAAAGGAAATAAATAATGATACAACACTTAGTTTCTCCATTGCATTATGATTTTGTCTTAGGTCAAATTATGTTTGGAACTAAATGATCATATTTTGAGTACAGTCCACAGATCAGTTGATGTGGGTACTGGCACAGAGTCTAACTTTAATGAGATCAATGTCATTGATTTGCTTCTATGAATAGAGTTCACAGCCCCCTGTGCCTAAGAAAATTCATTCCTATGGAATGAAAGTTGATTGGGAGTTACATGAAATATCATATCTGGGGAGGGTCTGCTAATGGAGTACAAATTTATCAGAAATCTACCTTCTCCTTTACATGACTAGAGAAACAAATTAGGATCCAAATGAATGATTATAGACATGCTTCAGCCTTATTTTGTTAGTGTAATGAAACCCTGATGAAAGTGATTTTGCTTTCATGGCCTAATGCTTTCCAGGAACCTGGAAAAGGTTGATAAAACAGTGGTTATAACTTCTGTCCAAAGGTATTTTTTCTATGTCCTACTTGTATATTCATTGTTATTTTTGACCTAGTGTTGCCACTGTACCAGATACCTGCTCTTCTGCTCTTGGAGATGAACCTCTCTAAATCTTGGAACTGATTTTGCCCTAAATGTCATACTGCCAATTCTTAGGTCTCTTTTAGATCTCCAACCCATAGCCATGCCCTAACTAATCCCCAGAAAAAATGTGGTTGATTAGAAGGGATGGAGATGAAATAAAACTCCAATTGAAGTGAGCTTGTTAATATACTGTATTAAAATATAAGAAAAGTGGCACAGCAGGGTTGATTAGCTCTTGAATTATACATTTCTCTCTTAGAATACAAAAAGAAAAAAAAACTATTAATTTTCTTACTTATTTGTTTTTCCAATTTATTTGGTTTTAAAGGCCAGTGTCTGTAACCTTCTTCTGTTTATTTAGTTTTTGGAAGGCTGAACTATGCCAGTCCCAGCATGTCAGTGATTTAAACAGCAGAATAATTTTTATGATGTTCACACTTAAATAATTACCATAGCTTGACTCCATTTTCCCTTAAATCATTAGGGACAGAACCTTACTGGTGTTACTCAGACTTTAGTCAGAATAAAAAGTGGTATTTTAAGGGAGGAAGTTTTAAAGAGCAGTTTTAACAGCATATGTGGTTAATTTTAATGATACAATTTGAACAAAGGTGAGACTCTTCCAACATTTGAAACATGTTGAATATTGTATATAATATATCAACAAGTTATGCATCTGAATATAGCAAATGTAGTTGGAGCCATCCTTGAAATGTTCAAGCACCAAAATTTAGGGCTGAGAATTTTCGTATGAGAAGCATTTTGCTATTGTTTTTTACATCTCTCCTCTGCCCATAATCTGATTTAGATATTTCTATCAGTGTTGTTTTATTGAAATCATTTTTATGTCTTACATTTCCTCCTAGGTATGTTCTACAGAATTTAAGATCTGTTTTGATAGATAGTCAGTTTAGAAATGTTTGAAATATTAAATAAATGATACAATATTTGGGGAGAAAATGTTTTGTCTCACTGATCTGTCACAAGGCAAACACATACCTCCTATTTCATCATACTCACACGGTATAGCAGCCTAATGTGTGAACACAGAAAAAGTGAGAATATTTGACCAGGAATTTGATTTTACAAAGAGGTTTTTACATCTGTAGACACGTACCATAATACATAGTTGATTCACCATACCATAAGGTTGATTATTTTCAAAACCTTAAATACTAGTTCCATAATTATATATTTGTTGTTGTTATCAGCATGACATACTAAGCTTCACTTTCTTCATTCCAGCTCCTAATGACATCACCTTCACAGTTGATGTTGGAAATGGCCCTGTAGAGGCTACTGTCCAGTCCCCTGTGCCCCTGAATGACAACCAGTGGCATTTTGTGCATGCTGAAAGGAATCTTAGGGAAACTTCTCTCCAGGTGGACAACTTTCCGAAGAAGACTTTGGAAGCACCTGCTGAAGGACATTTTCGATTGCAGCTAAACAGTCAATTATTTGTAGGTAGGGACAATCATTTGGTACTCCCCCCCCTTTTTTTTTCTTTCTTTTTTTTTTTTTACAAATGCTATTCTCTTAAGGTAAATGAATATTCTTTTAATTATTGGATATTGAATATCACTGATTCCTCAATGAATTTCTGTGGAAAGATCAGATATTTCTACTATTTGAAGAGAAACTTAGCAACTTGTTTTTCTTGAATTTGTACACTGATATAAATGGTTGTGTAGCTAAGTTTTCCCATCAATGAATAACAGAACCAAAGATTAAGCAATAGAAAAACTCAGAGTAATGTGTTCCTGTTTCACTTTGGTGGTAAGATTTACAGAAGAAATAATAGCCTAAAATGTTTTCCATTCTCAAAGATGCAGATAGATTACTATAGTTTACTGCTCAATGAGTAGAGAACAAGAATAGATCATCAGCAAACCCACAATCCTAGCTCTTTGGGTCTCAATGTGTGACATAACATATAGTGATCTAATAAAAGATAAAAAATGTTTTGTTTACATATCAAAAAGATACTACTTTGAATATAAGCAGCACATTCCCTTTGATACATTTTTCAGAAACAGAGTCTCAAAGGTATTAGTCACCATTTTCAAGTATTCTCATGAGAATATTCAACAAAAGTTTATTGAAATTCTTGATGTTTCTTACCAGTACAGATTATTTAAAATAAAATTGAAATTCGAGTCTTTGTGAGATGATTTCCATTCTCTTATGTTTTAGGAGTAAAAATCCTACGCTGTCACAGATATAAATTATATGTTATTTCTCATGTCTGATTTTTCTGTTTTGAGCTCCAAGTATTGCAACATATTGTTTCAATTTTTTACACCCAATATTCTAGATGTATTTATTTTTCTAACTGTAAAATTATCAAATGAAGATGAAGCCAACAGAAATGATAGAACTGGAGACTTAACTGATGCTAATCCCATGATTTCTGAATATATTTAGCAAAGATAATAGATCCAAGTAACAACTTAGTTTCAAATAAATCTTTTTTTATTATTCCTTCATAAAATGTGTAATTTGTGTCAGTGAAGACTATTAGCAATATTTGAAAAAAAATGGTATATATCTACTTCAAATAATAGTAAGAGAATCTCATCAGTTTTGTATAAAACTTAATATAAGAATATTAAGCACAACATGTTCTCTTAACAATCTTAAAAAAGTCAGAGATATAATTTGAGCACTGAATCTGAGGACCCTAACTGGAACTCCTTTTAAACCTATTTCAGCAAGTCATCAACAACAGACCATAAAAATAATCTGTTGGTGGTATTACACTCTGCTAAGATCATGCTCTATAAATTGAAACTCTTTAAATTGTGTTGGCAGGAGTGTTAACAAATTGGTAGCATCGTTTTGGTGACAATGTCCAATTAATCAATGCTTTTTATCAAAATGTTCTCAAGAAAGTGGGGGATTCACTCAACAAAATGTTATCATAAATCCTGAGATTAGATCATTATTATTATGGTTGGTCGCACAGTCAGCCAGATGTTTAGACTGGATTTGGCATTTTTA